ACTTGCTCCATCAGCTCCATATCCATCCTCTATTGGGGTCCCCAGAGCTGGATACAGCTCCAGGTTGGGTCTCTCCAAAGTGGGTCTTATTCTTACAGTAAATGTCAGTGATTATTTCACACTTTAGGGCTTTGGATTTAAAAATACTCTCAAATTATCCCATGGTGGAGGACTTTGACTATCAAGTCATTGTCTGGTTTGACTTGATGCGATTTCTCTGTTTCTCTTCAAACTAAAGCCCAGGCAACTATTCATGAAACATGACAGTCTGTGAGCTTTTACTGCCTTTTCATTTTTGCTCTATGTTGAATGTCAGGGGCCTTGTTGCAGACAACTCATTACAGTCAATAGTTGTCCTCATAATTATTTTTTTTCCTTGCTATCTTGCCAGTTTGGACCCATTGCAGCCCAGGACTGTCTCCCCAGTGACCTGTCAGGTCAGTTCATGCAAACTGTGACCTGGCAGCTGACAGAACTACATGGGTGTAGTTCAGCTTGGCCACACGGGCAAAGTTGCCCCTGTTACAAGGTTGGCTTTAGCAAAGTTAATAACAGCTCTGGAGGGACTGGAAACCACTTTGTTGGGTTAAACAAACCTGCCTATTTCGGTTTACCCTGTTGGGATATAATTTAAAACTTTGAAACCAGAGAAGCAAAATCATCCCTTTCGGTTCTATTTCTTGTGCTGATCTCTGTTCTCTGGACTGGGACATCAGATGCAGCTGAAAGTGCATTTCTGTTTCCAAATGAATTAATGCTGCTGGTTTGAGTTCATTTTCTCTCTTTCTCTTGTCTGTAGGTTTTCCATTTATTTCTGTTATGTAATTGCTAGAATAGTTTTTTTATTTAAAGGTGTGTGTGCTGGTCTAACTCATGTATCTTAATCTAATAAAATCCTTTATCTTTTATAGAGAGGAAGTTGCAAAGATATATGTGTTAGGACTCTCCATTTCATTAGTTTTCTGCCTCTTCAAACGTAATAAATGAGCTGCAGTATTTTCTCCCAATGTCAGCACTGAGTATCAGGGGAAAAGCTCCCAGCACTGCAGTGTGATCACAGTGAGCCCCAACTCCACAGCCCAAAGGAAGGGATGATCCAGCAATAATTAAGACTGTTTCCTAGATTACTGTGCAGAAAAATATGCTCAGTGACTCCTTTGTATTCAGCTTCCAGAATGGGCATCCCACCAAGGTGAACAAATCCAAATGGATGGTTACTACTATTTCAGGAGTAAAACCTGATTATTTTGAGGTTATCATATCATAATTATTAGAAAGTGGTCCCAATACCATCCACAAACCCTTAATCCACAAACCATCCTTCTTTTTCGCTTCCTGGATGAAGACCTGGAGATCAATGTGATTTAAAATGGAAAAAAAACATAGTACTTAAAAAACCTGTTAAACTGGTTTTACTAGAGAACTCTTCTGACTCAGAAATAAGCTGCTGTCTCATCATCTTCTAGTTATTCAAGTAGTGATTTATTAATTTTTTCAATCTGCTTTATCAGTGAGAGTTCTTGCTTGACCTTGACTTGCTGTTTCACTGATTTCCTTCAGAATATTAAGTGTCACACCAATTTAAACTAAAAACCTTCAGCTAGAAAGCAAGCGAGGAGAAAATTAAGGAGGAGAATGCTTTTCCTGTTCTGTTGATACAATTTGATGTAGATTTTGGAAGTAAATCTTCTCACTAAGAAGGGAAGTGGAGTCGAGTCCTACTTTAATTATCCTGAAGTCAGTTCTGCCTCTTAGGATGTGAGGGAACAGCTTGTGTGCATTGATGAAATCTTCTCTTCTGCCACAAAAAAGACATTGCCAAAAAGAAAACAGCAAACTGTAGTTTAAGAGTAGAAAGAACTAGAAAACATAAGTCTGTAGAGAAAAGAAGGTGGAACTCCACAAAATTCTTCTTTCTGGTTTGAATAATGTTGCTCTCATCAGGTTCACTTTGCTTTCCCCTTTGATAATTTTAAAGGGATCAATGTGGGAAAAAATTGATGTATCAGCATGGAAATTATTTTTTGTGGTGCTTAAGAAAGACTCATAAGAAGTGGCATGAGATATTCTGAGCAGGAGAGACTGTGCCATCACAATGTGCTTTTTTGATTATTCTAAAAGGAAAATATAAAGCAACCATCCAATATCTGTATTTATAGTCCTTCCCATTTCATCTTGCAACTCAGTTTGGAAAATATTGATTGTAAGGGGAGAGTATCACAGAGCTTCATGGGATTCAAAATGAGCTTTTAAGGTTTTGTAGTAGAACTGTGCAAATAATTCAGGAGAGACTCTACCACCACTGCAAAAAAATAAAGTAAAATATGAGTTTGTTTCACAGGTGGATACATTTAAAGAGAAGGGAGGAAAAAATCAAACCACAAACCTAAAATGCCCTTTCTGACTGATATTTATTTTTCTTTAACATAAGAAATTTATGATTTTAAGTGTTTGTGTGTTTTTAGTCATCATCACACCTGAGCAGTGGGTAATTTTTACTGTATTTATGCTCGTGAATTCCAGTCAGAATAAGAAAAAGCATAGTTCCATCTCTTCCCAGATGGAAAAGAAGGAAATGAGCCATCTGTGTGAAAGAGAAATCAATGGTAAAGCAAGAATCTGAACCTGGGTCTTGTGCAAAGCAATGCAGCATCCTGACTGGGGCCATTATTGTGCTCCATAATAAGAAGTTTCAGCTTTAGGAATTCTCTGAGAGATGATTTTGTCTTGTAACAGTCTGTTCTATTCTGCAGCTGCTTTTTTAACTTTGCAACTTACTGACATCAATTGACTGTCAAATAAGTACCACTGTGAACTCATGAATAAACATACTTGTCATTTACATACTAACTGAGGGCCTTCAGCTGAAAAGAATCCATTTGTGCCACTGCAATATCTTAATTATTTACTGTGTTATATTGTAATTAATTGTGTTTTACTCTCTCAAAACTCTATAGTCTGTATATCTTACGGGGTTTGGAAGCAATGCACTAATATTAAAGTCATAATCAACACTGCTTCTAAATATTCATGCTAATAAATGACTCCCATGTGTTTGCAGAGTGCCAGGGATAGTCTGAAGCATTTATTTAGCATTCTAGTGGGATCTGGTTTCTGCAAAGTTCACATTGAGGCAGAATTTCAATCTCGTTGCTGGGAAAGCACGTTAGAATTTGCACGAGCAGTGGGGCAGGACACTCAGGAGAAAGCAGTGGTATCTCAGTCACAGTCTGTGCCTAAGAATGTCTGAGAGCACTGGGGAGTTGTCAGCTATTTTTTGTTCTAATAATTCTGTTTAGTCTATGACAGCCTCCCAATAACTTCACTTTTTAATAAACAGCTCTAATTTTTCAAATCTTTTCAAACCCGTTGTGTTCCATGGGACAGGCTCTGCCTGTCACAGCCGGGGCTCCACTGAGGCACAACTGCAGCATTCACAGATTCAGACACATTCCCCAATAAATCAATTAAATACTAGAACCCTAAAATTATCCTGCTGCAATTGGCTGACATAAATCTCCAGAAAAGCGTATTGAGTGTAGGGAGGAACAACTGATTTATTGAGCTACTGTTGGAATTTCAAACAAGGAAATACTGTCTCTCAATCCAGTAAGTTTGTTTAATGAAATGTAAGTTAAGTGTAAACAGTCTTAAAATACATGTGAGTTGAGTCTTTTGGATTAAGAGTAACCAGTATATTGTAAACTATTCTTTCCCCTTTGAAGTGCAGTTTCTAGAGCCTGTGTAGGTGCACTGCCCCTTTCTGCAAGTGTTTGAGCCTCCACTGGTTCAGATTCTCTCCCACAGCTTCCAAAAGAAATTAATGGATTTACCTTTGGATACTTGAGATGAAAAAGAACTTGTTTTATAATCAGAAGAAGGACAATATGAAGATTGCACATAGTCATGATGGTGTTGAAAATGCAATCCAGATGTCCTGATCCCTGCTCCATGCTGGAGTGCAACTGGGATTTCTGTGTGCTGTGTTGGTGCCTTGTTTAGAAGATTCTCTTAAATACTTGTATATGTTTAAATACTTTGTCTATTGCTCTCACAGAGATGCTTGATAATACTGTTGGCCATATTTATATTGATATTTCATATTTTTTGGACTTGATGATCCTTGTGGGTGCCTTCCAACTCAGGATCTGCTATGATTCTAACTGCTCCAACACCACTTCTTTTTTCTTTTAAGCTAAAACTTAATTATTCCTTATGAAGAGTTTGAAATACATTTTAAAAACTTTGAAATGCATCTTAAAAAGTTTGAAATGCATTTTAAAATATTTACCTCTGTATTAAAAAAAAATCAGCATGACAGTACTTTATATTTAGTTTCCATGATGCTCTTAGATCTATGTGCAGTTCTGTGTGGGAATATTTGGGATGCTCAGCCTTAAGGGAAAATCATTTCTGCCAGAGTCACTTTGCTGACTGGTCACAGCACTCCAGGTCTGCCCTTAGTGCAGGAGGCTCTGGCTTTGAACAATGATGTGTTAAACTGAAAATGGTCATGCAAAGCCCCAACCTGATTAATTGGACCTCACTTTAAAAAGTAGTACAGGAAGACTGAGTATTAAAAAGTGATTTTGTTACTGTTTAATATAGTAATGCCTTTATATGGAGAGGAAAGTACAAGGGCAAGTAGTGAAAGGTCAAGGGAAATGGCTTTAAGCCGAAAGAGGATAGATTTAACTTGGATATTAGGAAGAGATTCTTGGCTGTGAGGGTGGTGAGGCCCTGGCACAGGTTGCCCAGAGAAGCTGTGGCTGCCTGATCCCTGGAAGTGTCCAAGGCCAGGTTGGATGGGGCTTGGAGCAACCTGGGCTAGTGGAAGGTGTCCCTGTCCATGGCAATGGGTTGGAATGGGATTGTCCTTAAAGTCTCTTCCAACCCAATTCATTCTATGATTCCATGATATGTCCGACTCTCCATCAGAGCTGGGTGCAGGATGATGGGCTTGGAGTTTGGACTCAATCAACTCTGTTTTCCTTTTTCAGGATCACCCAGCGCTGCTGCAGTTTGTAATTCAAGCTGAAGGCAAACATCTGGTCATCGATTTGGAGAGGAATGAGTGAGTACTGTACCCTTGCTGCGTGTTTGCTTTGTACTCGGGTCTCTCAAGGAGGGTTATAATTTTTAAAATTGATGGTTTAAAATTAACCTGGGGCCAATTTTGCTACTGGTCCATTATAAACGGTCCCCTAACAAGAGAGTTTTGTTCCAGTTTGGAGTAAGTGTGTTTGCACATTGCTGATAGAGCAAGAATCTCTATGGTTGTCTGCATTTATGTGGGGCTGAAAATGGACATGTTGCCTCTCAGTGTTTTCCTGTGTATTTGATTTGGATTCGTCCTCCTTTCCTGTGGTTAGACCTTTTATTTATAGCAATGTGGAAAATCCTACAGTCTTTGGAATTCTTTTTGGAGGACTCATCCCTCCTAAGGCTGCCTGCAACCATGTTTTGCTCCATGCAGTACCCATGGGCATCTGCTCGAGGAAGATGAGTCAAGAATTTGGGCTTAACCCTGCTGGAATTTTAAACAGGAGCCCTCTGGGTTTGCTGGCAAGGGGCTGATGATGGGATGTTTGTGCTGTTCATGAGGCCTGTGACCAAAGCTGAGCTCGAGCCCTTGTTTGTGTGCACCTTCTTCCATGTGCTCTTGACAACTCCCCTCATGAGCTGAAGTTTTCAGAGGGGGATACCAGGGATGCTGTAGGCCCCCAGCAGAGTTTTTAAAGGGATATAGAACCATCCAGAAGTGAAGTCACTCCTCTGGAAGTCCATGACAAATGGAAAAAGTCATCAAAGTCTTAGTCTACCCCTCAACTGTTCAACTGCTTCTCCTCAAAGAAAATCTCCAGGGTATATTGTGGGAATCCAGAGCAGGACAATGACGTGCTGTTTGTCAAAAGGAAAACCAAAGATCACTCCCAACCTAGGGAAAGCTTTTTATAAAAGTTCCCAAGACTCTGTGTGTTCTGTAGGTTTCCCTGCTGGGGAATAAGAGCAACAAAGGTATTTTTTTAGTGTGATACAGAGACCATAGATGTAAGTGATGCAGTTTATGTGTTAAGGGGAAGGAATGTGCCTGTGAAAGCAAATGTCCAGGGGAGGCCAAGCCTGTGCTGCCTTGGGCTGGTGATGGACAACTTCAGTGGAAAACAACAGGGCACCTCTTTAGTCCTCTGTAGTAAAAAAAGGTTTTTTATTTCCAGTAATTTGGATGAACTGTAACATCACCCAGCTGTGATAAATTCCAGTTCACTTTATTATCTGACATCAAGCCCAAATCTTGAGCTTTCTTTCTATTATTTTTAATGCTCCCTAGTTGGTCAGAACCTGTCCTTGAAGGGTGTGTGGATCCCCCCTACACAGGTTGCTCTGTTCCAGTAACTAGAGGAAGATTTAATTCCTTTAGTAAACAGAGGTTTAACTTTATATTCTCTTAATCTTTGTCAAAGGGTGTGCCTTCCTTCAGGAATGGGAAGTATGCAGCAATTGAGGAAACTATTTACATTCCATGTCAGCGATTAAAAGAACATAAAACTGCCAATACAGGCCTTGCTGAACATACCAAACTCCCTTGTACCTGTAATAAAGTCAGATTTAGAAGATTGTAAGATGCAATCTCCACCTCTTTAATGTAGGATGTGAAAGTGCAGTAAATCACCTCTGTGGGTTCTGTCTGACTAACTGGAGTTGCAGATGTTGAGATCTGCTCGAGAGCTACAGTGATGTTTATCAGGGAATATTTTTTAGTTTACCTAGGGTAAACTGGGATTATTTTTTTCAGTTTAAAGGGGTGTCCACCAGAAGATTTGCATTCTGGAAGAGTTGTGTATGGTGTTGACAACATGAGGTTTCTCAGCAGGAGCTTCTAGGTAGTGTTGTAGGGTGGTACAATTAGTCTTGCCTGTGGTTGGCATTTGTAACACACGAGACAGTTTGTAGATGCCAAACCGCAGAAGAGGTTGGTTATGGTCTTGCAAAACCATTTCTCCCTTTTCTCCAGCATTCCTGGCTTTGATTTTCAGGAGGAGTAACACCCTGAGTGTTGCAAGTCCCTGCAGAAGTTTTTTCGGGGTGTGTGTGTGTAGGTCAATTTGTTACCTGTTTCTGTAAATAACACCATGCATTGGCCTGCAGAACTGGTCTGTGCTCCCAAGGAAAACAATTCCAAGCCCTCTGTGCTTGTCTGTGGAAGTTGGTGGTTGTGTTTTTTCTGCCTGTAACGCTGGTTTTGGGCACGTTGTCACTGGCACAAAATGACAAGTGGTGGCAGAGGAGGTGAGGCCGTGGGGGCTTGAAACAACCAGCATGGGCACACTGCTTATTCCAGAGGGTCTGCAGGGTGAGGGAGTGAGAAATAACGCCCAGGAGAGAAATGAAAATGTATTTCTGCAGAGCAAACACGGGGAATAACAACTGGTGGCAGCAGGTCAGACTGGACCTCTAGGAGGTTATGGACTCCGGGGGAGTGAGAAGGTCATCACATACCTGGGGAAGGGAGAAGTGTTTCAATTCCTGCTTCCTGGGAATGTCCAAGGCTGCAGATGTGCACACAGACCCTGTCTTCTCCAGCCTGCTCCATCTTCCTGGTGTTGGCGTGGAACATGCAGCTCAAAGCATTGCTGCTGAGCAGTGGAGTGGCCATTAAATCAGCAGCAGGTAGGAGTAGAGACATAAACACAAACACCTTTCCTTGAGTAATAAGTAGCCACAAATATAAAGCTCTGATACTTGTGCTGTTATTTTATAATGCTTTCATGTAAAGCATGTTATTTATTCCTTGGAGAATGGTGGAAGTGGAGGTGGATGGGACCCCTAAATTACATAATTTATGCATCAGGTCATGCAAAAAAAAAACCTGGATGTGACTTTCCATGGTTAGGAGGAACAGCTGCTTTGAGTAGTCTTGACATTAAACTCCATTTATTGAAAACCTTGGAGATTTTTCCAAGCCTTGAGTTATATTTCAAAACATGATTCAGATGCATTAGGCAACCCCAAGTGGGGAGCAATGTGTTAAACCATCTGTTATCTGTGGAAAAATTTAATGTCAGTTTGGTGTTTTCTGATATTTAGACTCAGCAAGATGTGTTCATATGTCCTGGGCAGGATGTTCTTAGTTAGTTCTGGAAGAGTTATTGGTACCTGACTTCACAGCTTGGGGGTTGAAATCTTCTGGATGGCTTGCAGCTGTTAAAATTACTTTTGTGTATATTCATTAAATACTTTAGTGATTAATTTCCAGGCACTGCCCATCCGTAATTGCAAAACCAAAATTATTTGTGGCGAATTCAATTTGTCAAGGGCAGAGAAGCTGCGAGTTCACGTTGGAAGTACATTTCTTACTATGATTTAGTTGCAAAAGATGATTGCACTCTTGAGAACCTTAAGCTCTGTAGTACCTTAAATGTTTTAGAAACACTTGTCATATGGAGAGATTTCCAGAATCAGCAAATCATCGATCAGCTGCAAAATAAACCACTTTTCAGAGCAGCTGACTGTGCTGGTGTGCATTACATCAGTAATACTGATGCTCTGCTGTTGTGCAAGGGACAGTATTATATGCACATATAAATTCCTTTGAAGCTGATTGCAGCGTTTGGGTCTTGGAGGAGAGCAGGCTCATGATTGTGTCGGTGAAACAGAACCCACGTAAGATTAGATCTGAGCTGGAGAGTGGAACAGTATGTGGCTACTGGATGTTTTTCTGGGACTGGAAACATTTTACACCCTGTCAGGAATAGGTCTGTATACAGCAAAGTACTTAAGTGTTCTTTTAACTTTAAACATATGAGTAATCCAGGTAAAGTCAGTGGAATTACTGATTTTCAAAATTAATTTCATGCTTAAATGATTTGCTGACAAAGGTCATAATTATGAATGTCAAAGAAATATAACTCTGAACAGATGTTAGAGAGCTTTTTCAGTGCTGACTCCTGTATGTACCTGAGTCTGCAGCAGATGAAGATAAAAAGCTGAGATAAGTGGAGGGCATGTCAGGGTGAGTGTGGAGGTGGGATGGCTTTGCCCTGAAGACATCCACAACATTCCAGGTGTGTCCTGGACAGTTCCCTCCTGGTGGGACTTGTCCAGCTCTGCAGAGGGAGCAGTGAGGGTGAGGTCAGTGTGATTGTGGCTGATGAGCCCCTGGCAGTGACCATGGGAACATGGAAATGGAAAGAAAAAGCTTGAATATTTTAGAGAAGCTGACTTCACTATTCATTTCCCCATAACTTTATGCTCCTTTTTGTCAGGTTTATAGCACACCCTTAACAAAGCAATATAAAAAAGGCAGTATAGAAAGTTAGATTGCTGCTTTTTAGTCCCTCAGTAAAAATTCTTCTGTTTTATCAGGAGGCAAAATCCACCTCAGGCTATGGTATAAACCTCAATCTTATCGTATAAATCCCTCTGAATGTCAGAGATCTCCCGAGGTTTAGATCATCTCTGACTGTCCCCCTTGCACATTTACAACTTCTTCATGGAGACACAGTGCCCAGGATGTATTGGGATGGAATGGCCCAGTGTTGGGGGTCACTTTAGAACCTCACCTCCAGGACTGAGGAGGCTCCAGCAGCATTTCCCTGGCTGAAAAGCAGGCAAGAGCCATCTTAATGCATGGTGCTGGTGTGACCTGTTCCAATGAGGCTTTAGCATTCAGAAATATTTTATATTCTTTTCGTGGTTAGAAGAAAAGAAGTCGTTCTCTCTTCTTTTCCGCCTGATCTTTGTGAATAGGAGCCCTGATTGGTGTTCAAGTGACATTGGAGCTGGATTAATTTAACAGGGAAACAACCCATTTCCAGTGCCAAAGAAAATAGCTGACGAGATTTGTTAATGAATTGACTTGCTTATGTAGAATCAATGGCTTTGAAATAGTGATAGAGGAAACAAATCTAAACAAACAAATCCCAAATAGAGAGCTGGGACCTGTCAGAATATACTTACTATTATAATTCTGTGCTGTAGCTTTGCCAAAAAACTGTGACCTCAGCCTGTTTTATCTGCAAGTGCTGGAGCTGGCAGCTGTACTGCAGCATTTCGGAGTGAGCTGACAGTTGG